CGGACGTGAAGAGAGCGCCGACGGCTTTTCTTTCCGCAATGATTTGTCCATCTTCAGATACGCTTCAAGGTCAAGATGCAACGATCCCATAAATCCTCCCCCGAAGATGCATCAAGGACGCGGCTAGCCAAAGCCCATTCCTCGAGGAAATTCTTCGACCGAGCAATTCGGAGCCTTGGCAGTGGCGAATGCGTTGCCTGTGCGTCAGAGCTCGAGGTGAAGTCGTGTCATTTTGTCAGCTTCTCCCGAAGTGTTATTGTTTTTCCCTTTAATGGAACATTAGAGGGAAAAAAAAAACTATCTAGTTTTTCGACGATGTGATGACACGATGTCGGCGGTACTTTTTCTTCAGGATGCGATAAAAATAACACGAGTAGTTGTTTTAAGGGCAATACTCTACAGTTTTATTGTTTTATTTTGCACGTAACTCTATTGTAACATAATCAGTAAATCAAGTTGTAGCAGGTTATAACTACCAGGACGATACAAGATAGAGTAGGCCGAAATAAAGACATTAAAGCTTGGATTAGAACCCAAGAAACCCACCGCTTAGCAGCCTGCAAGCAAGGCAAGACTCGATCAACTAAACCCCTTCAAACGCCCATAGAGCAAGGCTTTGAAAGTCTGCATTTCGATCCGAATTTTTAGCTCACCCCTGGGCATAAGTGAGAAAAGGGAGAATTCAGATTCCGCCCGTGACGCACCATCGAGGCAATTACGTAAGCCTTCTTTCATTCGGAAAATTTATAGTGTCTCGAGAGGTTAGATAGTGCGGTCGTAGATTATCCCTCCCGAGGTGACAAAGGTGAAGAAGAGAAGGCCGAAATTGAAGGGAGGAAGAGGCAGTGACTCTCCGAGCCTGCTTTTATCGTTGAGGTCTCCTAGTTGGTCGAGTCTTCAATTTGCTTGCAGGGTGCTAGGTGGTCTCTCCGCAGTCCGCAAATCCCTTCCTCTTAAATCTCTTAACTTTCGTATTTCTTTTAAAATAAATATGCCAAACAAAAATTTCAGGCTGCATCATCATTCCGGTTTTTTTTCCTCTTGGTTCCTATGGAAGCACCGGTAATAGAGCATTGCTGCAAGAACCGATGGCTTACTGTGCTTAGTATTTCACTTTTCCCCTTAAGTGACTTCGCGGTTGAAGTCATCGGAGGTCAGTATACCGAAAATGCGGTCGGGTTATGGCAAAAAGCAGTATAAGAAGATGCAGCCACTCGTGAGATGGTGCCGATTCCATGTGGAATGGAATTTAAGGGGTGAACCGCACGTTCCACCGTTTGGCAATCCCGAAATAACGAGCCGAGCCCTGGGTGTGGATGAGGGTGGGGAGGGGGGGGGAGGGGGGGGACCGCCGTGGGGGGTGAGTAGCTCCTCCTGCTGGTCGTCTCTTCAGTTCTCATTCAGACGCCGCGGCAAACGTGACTCTGCGCTCAGTAGCAGGGATGCACGGCGAGGCTCCATGATAACCTCCCATGTGATCTCTCTGCACATGCCTCTGTGCGATTCCGATCGGACGTTCGTGCTACGTGGAGTGTTAGACCGTGAACCCGATTGACGGAAAACGAAAAAGTGACTGCCATAGTTGCAACGGTGAGTCGGCTGGAATCATTTTTACTCGAAGGATACGTGCGTTGAAGCATCTCTGCACGGGGTGTTAAGCCTGAACCGTGCCTGTGTTCCACATCTGGTTCGCGTGGCCGTGATCTCGTATCCATCCAGGCGTGTGTGTTTCCTTTCATTCCCAGCCGACCACATCTGAAACATCTATCACAGTCACACAGTCACAGAAGGAAAAAAAAACTTCCACTTGAAATCAAGCTGTTGGAATCATTTCGCAGATACGAGCACTTTCACGTATGAGCGAAAGGCTTTCCGGTATGAATCGCGAGACATTCTTTCCTCGGAGAGAATCCGGAAGAGAGAAATAATTTTATATATTTTTTGACCTTGTTCTCACGACCCGGGAAGAAGATGATTACGAATGTGAAGACCTTGTTCGTCTGATCCACGATTCAGATATATAATTTCGGTAGTTGGCGGAAATCTCATCTAGCTTCTCGTCTCTGCACTGCAGAGTTTATCGGAATCTCAAATGGCTCCAGGGACGAAAAGGCGTGTCCGGCCCGGTCCTAATGACGGGATAACGTGTGCACGTGCATTCAGATTTTAATCTGGAGCAGATACGAATGAGGAAGTCCTTTCCCGAGACGTGCAATGACGTGACTCACGAACCTCAATCAAATGGCCTCTCGAGCTTTTTTTTTTATATGCTCGGTTGAAAGGAATGTCAGCCCAGATAAAAGAAATCTGTTTCGCATGACCTTCAAGTCTGGTAGCTAATTCAAGGACATTTCCTGCACTAAGTGGACCGGTGATGTGGGGCAGACCCGTGAGTCATAAAAAGAGGTAAAATTGAGACCTCCCACGTGAGACATATAGGCCATCATCAAAAATGATTATGTGGAGAAGACTCGTGGGCGGGGGTTATGGTAACCTGCGTTGGCTTTTCCCGACCCTCAGCTCGTGTCTTTCACTCTTGTCAAAAAAAAGTTTCCATTCAGGCTTTTCTCTATCGAAGACGACCGATTGGCAGCTGCCATGCCTGCATTGCGACGAGGGAAGTTGTGCATACAAACGGCCGACTTTCATGGCAACTGCGGGTGTCCAGTTGTCTCTGCTGTAGTCATTTTGCTCTGTCATGGTCATCCCTTCCGCGTTTGATATCCACCGTAATCTTCCTTCTGTCGCGAATAGAAAGGGCCCCGTGAGTCAACAGTTAGCAAAAAAAACGATGGGGGATGTGGGGTTAATAAAAAAACGAGATTCATTAATTTGTCACTTCCATTTCTTCCTGGAACACCTTGAAAGAGGCAGCGGTATTGATGGTGGAGTTCCTGGATGCCTTTCTAAAAGGCCCAAAATGCCTGAGATGCTTGGGCGGACTAATAACCGGTGTCGCAACCTGTCTGAATCCCTTCGCCATACGTGTACTGTCCGGAAAAAAAAGTAGCTCGGAAGAGAATCAAAGCATCGTGTGTCGTTCATACAAAACCTATCGGAACAGGTCTGAAAATGAAAGACCGCCAATTGCTTTAGGACTTAAAAATAAAACCGAAAAAATTGAAGTGACTGGCCAGGGAGAATTTGGGAGAAAAAAAAAAGAAGTAAAAGTTGAAGGAAAATCAATCTCATGACTTGAAGGGGTGAAGAGACTGCCCCAAAAGGTGCCGAGTGAATATTCGGAAGTTCATTCTATGCAGGGAATTATGGAGAGGACGAAGGGAGAAAGGGCATCTTGCAATGGTGAAGTGCGATTATACAGGATTATAAAAATTCCGTCATGACGCAATGGCCGGTCGGTCCCGTGGGACTAGCCCCGACGAAAATGCCCTCGGGGTTACCGGAAGGAGAGAGAAAAAAACGTTCAGACGCTGATGTCCCATTGCATTGCAGGGAAAGTGACCGGACGCACAGAGCCCTCTTCAGGAACAGAGGCTCATTCACTATTACGTAAATTCGAAGAAATTCGTCTCGCCCTTGGCAATAGACAGACGGAGGTGGTTCCTCCCACGCCGTTTCATCACGAAACGCGGAATGCACCGTAGCAAGGTATATCATCATGGGTCCAGGAAACGAGTCGGAGATCGTCGACGAACAAGGTTAGCAGACGAGGGTATTAGTCAAGGCGAAGCGTCACCTACTAACCGAGGAACCATCGATCATGAGTTGTTCACGTATATCAAGGGGCGTGGTTCCTCTTGTGGAATCCCACCCGACGAGGTCGCAACATAGTTTCCAGATTTTCCAGCGCGTTCTTCCGGCTGGACGAACGCAATAAACTGGATCCTCTTCCGAGCCTTTCCATTCGGTTGCTTCTGCGTGCAATCGACACGATTGCGCCGGGCACGAAAGAGAAAATATCTCTCGGACGATGGAGATGGTGATGGAGAGCACGCCGTGCACGGACACGGGACGTGTGCCTGTGCCAGTTATTCAGTGACCATGTAATACATGCACTCCACTCCACTCCCCTCGTACTTGTAATGGCCGGCATTGCATAAGCCTTGCTTCGTTTGCTCGGGAGATTTTTCTTCTTTCTTTTTTTTTTCGGCCGTGGCACGGAGAATGAATCATCCATCAACTGCCCGTGCTAATTGCCAACTGCCCCGGTATTTCATTAACTCCTCCAGATGATTCCACGATGCTCTGTTGGTGGTTGATGATCGCGAAAAGCGAAGGAGACGCTTTCGAAAGGAGACATCGTATCGAGAATGCAAGGTCTCGTCACGTTAGAGTGCCCCTGACGGGTTGAAAGGGGTTCTTGCGACACTCGCCTGCCAATTCGGGGTCACTTCACTCGGGAATCGGCACGAAGTTGTCAACAGGATTTACAGTTGGCGCCCTTTTCGTGTACAATGCGGCAGGAAATTATTTTTTTCTCCTCCCCCTTTCGTAGATTTCATGCACTTTCACCCGGTACTGGTACTGGTTCATAACTTTCTGTTGTGCACTTTTCTACATTATCTACGGGGGTGGGGAAGGAAATAATTTCTTGCCACCCCGTAAATGGAAAGGGTACGACGTGACCCGGTCAACATCTTGCCGATCCCGAAGTGAAATGCTCTGGGATTGGCGGTCGTGAGAATCGCAAGATCTCCTTTCTGCCAACTAATAAGTGACCGCAATCGACAGCTTTGACGGCGGTTAGACGATCGAGATTATTTTGGGGTGATGCAGCGACCGATTCCGTGACCCGCATCCCACGCCGTGCGAAAGGTCACGCGTTAGTTCGATAAATGGATCCCTCCCTCCCTTTCCTGCGAAACTGACACGACGAGAGGATCACCACCCACCGCGGAAACCACAACACGTGTGACGAGTCCGAGGTGGGATGCTGCCTCGTGTGTCTCTCGTCTGGTGGCTTTCAGAGGGAGAGGATGAAAGCATTTCCTGTCACCCCACGTAAGGCTCACTTATTTCACATCTCCGCATTTCTTTTTATGCAGATGTTGGTGCGAGGGTTGCTGTCCTTATCTTACCTCTTCTTCCTCTCCCGTGAGTCTCTCATCGATTGCTTTCATCAGCCGAATCTCCATGTATCTTCTCATTCTGATTCCGCCCGTTCTTCGCGATCAGGAGCGTGGGGAGAGAAGCGGGTCGTGTGCTACTACACTAACTGGTCCGTCTACCGGCAGGGCATTGCCAAATTCTCTCCAGAGAATATCAACCCATATCTGTGTACTCACCTCATCTACGCCTTCGGCGGAATCACCAAAGACTACCAGCTCAAGCCCTTCGACAACTACCAGGATATCGAAAAGGGTACTTGCTAGAATGAATATTGAATGGATATTCATTATATATAAAATCACTCCAGAGTTAACCTTTATTTCCAACTTCTTCAAAATTTCTGTGCTCCCTATAGGTGGTTTTTTTTTTACAAGCTACATTTTTCAAAATGGGAAATGGGTGTTGATATCGTCCATGATTCTTCTATCGTTCATCTGAACTATTGGAATACCAATACTGCATTTTATGATTCCTCAGGTCAAGAAAAATATTACTCATGGAAGTAAGGAAGATTTCAAAATAAATTCTTCTAACTTAAATTAATCAGAAATCAAAATAAAATTAAAATTATAGGGGGGAACAAGACGGTCAAACCCCAGTCTATTAGCGAGGAGCATTTGAATATGTCGTAAGAGTTGGTACAGGCGAAAAATTAGGGGATATGACGAAAGAAGGGGGGAAGAAAAACGGATGCCTGGAGTCATCCCTCGTGGGAATCCTCTGTGGTCCACAACTGGGACAGCTTCACTCTACCTATCCCCTTCCTCTGTCAGTTCATGAATTTCATTTTTTTTTTAATTATAAGGTCGTTCGTGCATGGAATGGTTTTAAAACCAAATAGATTTTTAGATTACATTTTTACGATGCTGTAAAACTCAGGCAATATATGGAGTGGTATGCTCTGGAACGTTGACGGAAGCCCTTGAAGGAATGTAGGAATTTCTCGCTCAAATGACCGATGTCCGATCCAGGCGGGTACGCGAAGTTCATGGGCCTGAAGACGTACAACAAGGGGCTGAAGGTGCTTCTGGCCGTGGGAGGCTGGAACGAGGGATCCGGTCGATGGTCGCCCCTCGTCGCGGACGCCGACCACCGGAAGACATTCATCCGGAGCGTCATCAGGTTCCTTCGTACCTATGACTTCGATGGTCTGGATCTGGACTGGGAATATCCTGCCTTCCGAGACGGCGGACGCCCCGAAGACAAGGATAACTACGCCAAACTCGTTCAGGTGCAGAATACTTTCTCCTTGTTCTTTATGTATGCCTATCAGCTCCAGCTAGCTGGAGTTTCGGCTTAAGAATTTTTCTCTGCGTAATAATCGCCTGTTAGACCAAGGAAATAGGGCATACAAATTGCAAGCCCTGTGGCCGTGGAACCTTTCGTATAGGAAGAAAAAAATGAGATTTAAAGTTCAGAAGGAAAACCATTAATTTTGAGTTGATGTGTATGTGCTTGGAATGTAGGAGTTGCGGATATCGTTTGAACGTGAGGCGAAGAAGAGCGAACGGGAGCGTCTGCTGCTGACGATGGCCGTCCCCGCAGGACAGGAATATATCGACAACGGATACGACGTGGCCACCCTCAACAAGTCTGGCTCTTGTTTTTTTTTTCTCTTTCTACTTTTCTCTTCCTTGTCGGTCTGACGACATGCCTTCGCGTACCTGTCCTAACCTAATGATTTCACCATGCATTAATTGCATCACTCGCTCGGACGGTAAAAATGCAGGGTATGACTCCGGAAGGCGTTAGGGATGAACGGGGGGGAAAAAATGACAAACCCGAGGCGGGTAATGAAAAAGAGTAATTGCTGCGCTTTTCTTTCTCCGTGGTTGGATCTCATCGCATTCTTTTCGTTTTCGAGGTCATGGGACCAAGAGCGAAATTCAGCTTCTGTTCCTCTTATTTTTCCTTTCTATTATTTTTCTTCAAATTGAAACGATAGTTAATTAAGCGGGATTGAGACAGAAAGTGGAAGTTAAGTCCAGACCAGGAGATGATAAATGGAGACCACAGAATCCCGGCCAAATTCGTCACACTATCCCAGTTACCCGTAAAATGAGGCAAACCGCAGAATCATGACTCAAGTAGAATTACAAAAAAAAAGAAAGATGAAGTTCCCACGGGAACCAAGCAAGCATCTCTTAGGTCTTTGTTTTTCTCTCTTAACCCCCATTTCCTCCCTTTACGGAATTCAATTCACCTGTTGTCATGCCACTAAGTCTTGCTTGAATTTCGACAAACTCAGTTTAAATAATTTCTGAGTTTGCAGTGGAAAATGAATTCTTCATTCCCATTTCACCTTTGCTGTCGGAAACGGACAACTCGGATTATGAGTTTCTTTCCTCGTGTAAAGCTTTCAGGAACGGCGTTGGTGTCCATACAAGCATACATTATGATAATTTGCGACAACTCAAACTCTTGGGTGCTGAAGTGCTTCCGTAATTTCAATTTTCCAGTCTCGCTATGCAGTCAAATAAATATATTAGCTTAACCCTTTCAGACCCCGCGTCCACTCCAATGGACATTGCATTTTCATTGTTTCTATGGTAATTTATTGGGATTCTCGTGACTTTGCGCCCCATATTACACTACAATGGACTCAATTATGCATGGCTCAATTCCGTCGGAGGCCTTCTCTCACTCGTCTGTTTTGTAATATTCAGTTATGTAATTACATTTATAATATATAAAATATGGTATGATATGGTAGATTAATACAATATATAAATACGATATATACAGAACATAAAATTTAAAGTAGCTAAAAAAGAGCTAAAAAAAATGCTAAAAAGTATATCATTCCGATAATGACCTTAATTCAGGTCTGAAAGGGTTAAAGATATGTCACCTCTCAGCAATTACAATGTTTTTTTCCCCCGATGGTGGTACTTCAAGTACAAGTTATTCAAGGGATCTTTCCAGGACTTCAAGCCAGAAATCGTGCAGACGCTTCTTCGAAAGTGCAAATTCTTACCTTTTTTTTCTGAAACTACCAGTTTTTCTATGAAACTTAAAACCAAGAAAGTTCTTATTTCAGTCGTCAGTTCTTGAGGAAAATTATAAACTCCGAAATGGGAGGAAGTTCTTTGCCGTTTCCCAAATCCTATCCAACAACTGCCATGGAATGTAATTTTTCACGAATTAACATCTTGTACCCTTGCAACTAGTCCCATAAGCTTCCCCGAAAACTTTTCAAGATGCAATGTGTTCTTTATTTATTTATTTATTATTATTATTATATTGATATATATATATTTTTTTTTGGGGGGGGGGGCCCAAAAAAAAAAGTTAGTTAGGCACCCTATTTTGTGTGTGACCTACGATCTGCGACCTGTCCAATGTTTCTGCAAGATTGATCCAGTTTTTTTTTGTGGTATCCTTTTAAGTACTTTCATTTTCTCTCTGATCCTCACTCCAGGTACCTGGACTTCTTCAACATGCTTACATACGACTACCACAGCGCGTTCGAGCCTCAGGCGAACCACCACGCCCCCCTCTATCCACGGAAAGGACTCTCTGAATTCGACTTCAAGTACCAACTCACCATAGTCAGTTTCAACTCTTTATTCCTCCCCCCTCTATATTTGTCTAGTAACCTAATATTACCTATGTAAATTGGTTTAAATAACGTGCGAAAGGTGATTTCTCAAGTGCAAAGGAACCGAGTCAGGTGTCACTTGTCCCAGTCTTTTAAAAAATAATTTAACTTGTATTTGTCCTGTGTCTCATTTACAGAACGAAATTAAATATCCTCTTAAATTCGCACGATAAATTTCAAGGGTTTTAAATATATAAGATGATAATCAATACCGTCGTTTAAAGCTTTACGTGGCTTTTTGTTAACTATATGATTTCTGTTATGAATATCAGATTCTAAAGGAATCTAGGAGTGACGATAGGTAAATTATAGGCTAAAAATGTTACAATGCTTTGATATTGATCAATATTTGTGGAATGTTGATAGAACCTCATTCCGCATTTAAGTGAGAAAAAATGTCAGGCATCACGAGAGAAACTCAAGGCCGATCCCTATAGAAACCTTGAGATTGTGGTCTAGGTTGCGGAATGCAGTTCGAGCTACAACATGTCAGACTGTTGCAGTAAAGAACTGGATTGTCGATGGGACGCGTGGGGCGAACGTGATTGAAGACCCGAATGGATCATGAGCTGCCATTACGTTGCACGGGGTCCCGCTTCAATACGCTATCGCATTCACGCTTTCTCGCTCTCCATTGCGTTGCATAAGTGGCCTAAGCCGTAAATCACGGAGCACGCGAGATTGTAACTAATTCTGGTCGATACTCGTTCGTCGAAAGTCTGGACGCACGGTTGGAAGTACTGTAACTGAGGCTCTCGTGGGTTTCGATCGGAATGCATCGAGAGAAGCGAGATTCTGACGAATTCATGTCATTGGATGGAATCGAATTAAGCAAGATGGATTAGATGTCTGTCAATCTGTCATCTAGTCTTACGAAAAACCTTTTGATTCACGAGAGGTGAGGACTATAAAATGTGAGAACCCCTGGAGGCGGGGGCTGCAAATGTCAAAACTCCCTCAAAGCCGGTTTTCCTTTCCCTCATTTCCTGTTCACTCTTCTTATTTCCTACTTCAATAATCCTTTAAGGAAAAAAATAAGTACCTCGTGGAATCTAAATCTGGAGCAAGAGGAACAAATCCGGTCGAGTAAGAAGTAAGGAATAGAAAATGTTTGGTACTTTGAGGTATAATCGGAGTAGGAACTTCAAAGGAAAAGTGTTAAGCAAAAGAATTATGCATTAATGTTTTGCTCCGTGTCGTCACAGCTTTGAATATTTTGATGAATGTGATGGATGAAATGATGAATCCATCTTTTTCCTCGTACTCCTAGAATGATGGAAAGGGTGAAAGGGTGAAAGTTCATCCTTTCGATTCATTGAAATGTCAGTCTCCACTTCATTTCTTCTGTCGATTCCCGTAATTTAGCGCAATACTGAGTCGCTCGTCCCAAATATCGACTTGGCTCTTTTCGTTCTCATTCATATTCACTTAAAAGTTCGTTCTACCGAGAGAGAATGCTTCAGATTTTAATCCCTCTTTGCTCTCCATGTGTCTGATGACGCAATGATTTCTCAGTTTTTCTACCGACTGTTTCCTCTCCGGGGTGTCCCGTGTTGTCTGTGGATAAGCCTTTGGGACATATGAAGAAAGGAACTCACCTTTCACCCCTAACCTTTTCTTCTCCCTCTATCTTCTCGCAGTCAATCTTCTTTTCCTGTCAGGAATCGCGTTCAGGAAAACAGCTGAAATCAAATTACGTCTGTCCGGTGAATAAAAATCCCGGAAGTTGAACTACAGTATGTAATATTGCTTCACGAACTCCTAGATTATTTTGTTGATTTAACCAAATTGTATTCCTTACAAGCGCACGATATTCTGTTATGCATAGAAAATGAGCCGATGGAATCGTCACATGTTTGTTGGATCTTTCAGGACTACACGGTGAAATATTACTTGGAGAAGGGTGCGGATCGAGATAAGTTGGTCGTGGGAATCCCCACGTACGGAAGGAGTTACACTCTGGTGAACCCCACGGCGAACACCCTCGGATCACCCGCGCAGGGCCCCGGGGAACCTGGCAAGTACACCAAGGAAAAGGGTTACCTCGCCTTCTACGAGGTCTGTGTCTCACGTCTCAGGATTTTTATTTTATAATTTTATGAGCTATTTCTCATTCACTCTGTCGCGGCGAGTTGCGAGAAAAAAATAGGGAAATGTACCGATATTCATATTTTTTATATCAAATTAATCATAAATGATAAACATATATTAAATAGTGAAATAAGAGATCATGAAATCTATCAAGGGTGAAGTGAATTAAAGGAATGAAACAGGACAAGAAACAACAGGAGTAGACAAAAATCTTGTTTCATGGTGATCGATTTCAGGTTTAAATCTTGGCTCGTTCTTCTGTGATACATAGTTTTGTAAAGATTTATTGAGGTATTTAATTCCAATATCAGATAGCATGTCTTTTGCCATTGAAAGGGTGATTACGAATGAACGAACCTGGGGGAGAAAATGGGGTCGTTTGAAGGTGAGGCATTGTTTGTGTCTATCTGAGGTCTCTTTGTGGGAGACAGTGAATAATGGGAACGGCAACAGGCCGTGCATAGAAAGGAAGGAATACGTAGTCATGACCAGGGGGATTACGTTTCTTAGGCTCCATCAACACGAGAGAGAGAGAGAGAGAGAAATGAAGCGATTACATCATCGTTATCGGAGGGGGGGGAGGAGGACACCTGTTTCCTTCGTTACGTTCTCTCTTCGTTGTACGAAAAGGGAAAAAAAAACTTTCTCCGGCCGAATGATAAATTCGATGCATTTTTTAAACAGCCGAGATGGAAACGCTGACATCAGATGCGATCTCGCACATGATGGACTGCATTACGGCCGGAAGAATTTAACGGTTAATGATGAAGAATCGCGTTGCGGGCCTCATTAATCATGGGTTAAAGGGGAGAGTAGTTGGTGGGTTAAAAAATAAAACAAAAAAGAAAAGTTTATGGTCAAGCAGCGATTGCGCAAATCTCCTCCACCCGTTAATAGGGGGATTTCCTTCCTCCCACTCCCTCATGATGATGATGATAGTTTCATCATGCCCTCCTCAAATACTCTAACGATTAGCATCCATGGATTCTCCCTTTCCCCCTTGTCATTGCAACATGGAAAAAAAAAAAAACAGAATTCCGAAAAAATGAGAAAGTCGGACAGGACTTTGGGCTGTTGTGTAAATGAAACGAATACAGAATAACGTAAGAAAATTGCAAACATAAAAAATGAGGGGGGATGGGGAAAGATGCAATTTTTAAGATTCTGAGTGACTGCTCGAGCTTCTCATCAAATAAAAATATTAAATTAAATTAACTCACCGGACCGCAACGAACGAACTGCAAAACAAGATCTTTCATGGAAGGAAACGAAGACGTAAAAGTGAATAATAATGAGAAGCAACAATTTTCTAATATAAAATGGAAAGCGAAACGAAAATGATGGAAAGTGCTGAGCAGATAGAAAGCCTTTGGGGCAAAGTTCGAGAGAGAGGACAGACGGATTCCGAAGACGAAGGAGGACGGACGAGGAGGACAAGTGAGTGACCTTCATACCCAGTGGAGGGGAACCGCATCCTCTAACCACGGTTAAATAGACTGGAAACCGAGCCGGACAATGAAACCCACGTGATACGATCCCTCTCCTTCGGCCGAGGTGTTTACGCACGTGGGCCCATCTGCATTCCTATTCACGCCCCACTGTGAATTTTTTCCCGTTGCCGATCGACAAAAGACAGGACTGTTATAAATGGCTCCTTCTTGAAAGAAGTCCCATTGAAAATGAAGAGTCTGCTGGGTGTTTCGAAAGAGTGAGGATGGGTGTGTTTAGAAACATAAGTCGAAAGCCATGTTCCCTACACTCGCCTTGACACATGACACATGTACGAGACATGTATAGAAGAGAGATGGCGAAAAAAACAGGAATCCATAGACCGTTACAGATGGATTCCGTCACGTCTTCGGAGGCAATGAGAATCCCTTCACTTCCTCGTCAACGGGATTTCGACACCATGAGTCCAATATTGGCCAATCGAGAAGTATTTTAGATCACGAACATAGACGGCAAAAATTTTTTCTTAATAAATCCCATTGGAAGATACTTGAAAGGAAACCTTGAAAGAAGATTTTTAACAAGTCTGAAATATATATGCGGATTATCGATAGGAAAAATATTTAAAAAAAATAAAGTAGGAGTGAAGGTGAGCATAAATGTTAGATGGGAAGAGGATTATAATGAAAAAAAGGAAGAAAAAGGGTCATGATTTGAATAATCGGTCCCGCCTTCCTCGCGTCTCGTCTTTCCCATCGGGGTGAGAAAGTGTTTTCACCTCTGACCTCTGACCTTCCTTCTTGGATGACGAAGAATCCGGATCGTTAGAGTTAATTGGACGAGCGAGCAAAAGCATCTTCCTTTGAAATTCATGTCGGGGCGTGGAATCTCCATTCGGCCACGCTCCTCCAAACGCCGGAAATGATAACTCTTGGCAGAATATGAATGATGTAAACATGAGTTCGAGAAAAAAAAAAACTTCCAGCTTGGACTTACGTAACCACGAATTAAAGTTCAATCGTTACTGTAAGTTTGATCTATCGAGATCGATATTCAGTACGAAACACGAAAACATAACTTTTGATCAACAGACGCTCGTGCGCATGCAATTAAAAGCTATTCGTTCCGTGCGAAAATGGCTTCAGTGATTGGTCATGACAAAAATTATTAAAAGAGTGTGCAGGAGTGAAAGGGCCGAGGAAGGAAACAACCGTCGGTCATTTCCTTCTAAGGTATCTCTGTACATGGAGTCCGTGGGAACGGAGACACACTTCATCAGGTTCCTTATCGAAGGGTCTAACCCGGGTCTAACCTCTTCCTCCTTCCGGATTCACCTTCATTTGCTTAAGGGTCTCAACCCCATTCCATTACGAAATGAAAGGATAGCGTGCGATGACAAAAAAAAATAGTCGGCCGTTTCTCCGTGGGGAGCATAATACAGACGAAGCGGAAATATAAGAGAATGCACAATGCTTTAACGATTGCACAAATCATGGAAATACCCTCTCATTTGCTTATTGTTGGCGGGTTCACCTCGTGGAAACTGCATGGAACGGAAAGATAATTTTTATTTACTTTGCAACATGCCCATAGCGAGATTAATAACACAAAATCATCGTGGTTAATTCTCATGTGTGCCATTTTTTTCTCTCTTTTTTTTTTTAACCTCGTCCTCCTCGTGTTGTTTTTTCTTCTCACTTCCGGCTCTTGCGAAACCCATCGCTACTCCAATCGACGCAGGCAAAACACTCAGACCGTTTCCTTTTCTCTCTTCGCCTCGCCCCGACTCCAAGATGTATTAGGATGACCTTGTGAGGAATGTTTGTGCGCCGTGGCAGCCACTTTCACCTGGATTTCTCGCCCGGTAAACAAGAAACAAAATATCCGGCTCACTCCAACCGAGTTCCCAATCTTCGCTCGTATTTTTTTTTAAACCCTACTTCATGAGTCGCTTCGTTCTGTTTTTGTTATTGGAAGATAATGTCGATTGAGTGGAATTTTCGCATAAATATTTATTTTTTAACCTCTGTGGTCCTTAAAAAAGTTTTGCATTCTTGTTCAACTTCCTCTTTTTTTTTAAATCAATGATACTGAAAGTTCAAGTTCCATCCTATGAAGTTTTCTTGGTGCAGTTAAAAAACTCATGCAACAAAAAGTCGCATGGAAGCATGAAATGGACACATTTGTTGTACCTTTTTTTCTCGCTATGCGATGAACCTATCCGCAAGGGAGACAAAAGAAAGTGCCTGCTCTTGTCTCAGGCATTTATCCCATTTTCCCTGCAGGAATTTTCTTGAATGGGAAGATGGCCATTGCGTCAACGCCGCTGTCTATTTAAAAAGCAGAGAAGGAGGGGAGGAAGGAAGAAAAAAATAAGGTAGCTCAATTTCCTGCCCTTGACGGATGATCTCAGAGAGGAAAAAGAACAATGGGACACGTATGAGGGAAAGGGCAGTTTGGACTATGGGGGGGAAGGAGACAGGACAGGACTATTCCCTTTTTTTTTTACTGGCCGATCTATTGATTATGGAGGATGTGTGTGTCCCCGAGGCGATGACGTAATCCCCCTGCTGCACCCGTTTACGTGAATCCCGTGTGAAAGTCCTCCTTCCGCTCCTCCCCTCTTACTCTATGATAGCCAGAAGACACAAGGGGAAAAAAATATATCGGTGACCGATAATGATACTGATTCGGCGCTTTCTCTCCTCAAATCATCCACATGCCGCTTCTCGACAGATACAGTTCTTCTTACATTTCTTTTTACATTTGTGCGGCTGATGGTGCTGCGCTTTTTATTTATTTTATAGGGTGCTCTAAAAGCGACTTTCTATGTCAATGCTTTTTTTTTGGAGAGTGTCCGGAGTGACATATTTGAAGAAAATTGGGAGTGGGATCGACTTTACTATGCGGCAGCTGATGCACCGAACAAATTAGACATAATCACCATCACCATCGTGTCTCGTGCCTTGCAGCTGCAGGACAGAATCCACGTGATTATATTAATGACACTGTCTGGGTTCCATTCGAGGTAAAAACGGTCTCAGGACGCAACACACCATACCAAAGCATGTAGCATTTCTCGAAGAATGGGGCGAATTTTTCTTCGTATGCTGTATTTTAATGCTGGAAGCGTGCTTGTGGTGTTTATTCGTGGTGGGTTTATTACCTCCATTGTGAAGGTATGTGACACGATTGTGGCGCCATCACAACGCCTGATATTTTTTTAAGCGCGTCAGCTTCCGCCTTGTCAAATTAGTCCAAGATCCAATTTTCTCGGTCTTAAGCCACTCGTGCGCTACCCGAAGAGCGAAAGTCACTTTCTGAACACCCTGTGTATGCCTCTCTCGTTTTCTTTTCATGGAAGATTCGCCTTTCCAAAAAAAAAAGAAACTGAGCAGTTGAGGAGCAGCGGGAGGGACAAACCCTTTTCACCTTTCTTTAATCGCTCTGTCGAAATTCCTGCAAGAGTCCTCTTCCGTATTGTATGTTGAATCAAAAGAGACAAAGAGAGCTTTCACACCACATAGAACTCATCGTGATCGATGCACGAAATCTTGAGCAACGAAATACAAAAGAAAGCTCGGGGGAGCGTTCAGGTTTTTTGTTTGTTGGAATGGTACACATATTTTCATATTTTGTGTGCCACTATGTTGCTTTTTTTTATTCTACTGATTTTCTTCCTTCAAGTATGACTAAAAAAGGAAAATAAATCAATATAAATATTTCCGGTTTGTTGCTGTTTGCTTCCATTATCCATGTCCATTATTTTCGTCTAATTTGATTTACGTGATTTTCGTAGGTATGCGAGAACATAGATAAGGACAATTGGAAGGTGATGAAGGAGGACCCGACGGCCGTCGGACCATATGCCTACAAGGAGGGTCAATGGGTCGGGTACGATGATGAGGACATCGCAAGGCGGAAGGCGCAATACGTGAGGGAAGAAGGTCTGGGGGGGATCATGTTTTGGTCCGTGGACAACGACGATTTTTCGGGACATTGCTGCAAGACCAGACCAGACCAGAAGTATCCATTGATCGAAGCCTCCAAAGAAGCGCTCTTTCAAAAGGGGGAGGAAAAAAATACCACTCCGTCCTCATGGTCAACTTCCTGCCAAGACACGTCTGTTCTGGGACTGCCGCCTACAAATATATACGAGTAATAAGATGTAGCCGCGGACATCCCGTAAATACAAGATACGATGGATAGGATTTTAAGCGTTGTTTACTGGGAATGTTTGGTGATTCTCTGCAGGAGGGAGAACGCAACGGATGGGGGAATGAACCTGTCGTATTCCTTAGTATCCTCAACGACGTTCACGACCCCTACGAACCCCCTGAGTACCCCCGAGCCTCCCACCACGCCCGATCCTTGCACTGGTCTGTCTGTCTGTCTGTCTGTCTCTCTCTCTCTCTGTCTCTATCTCTATCTCTATCTTTATCTTTCCCCCCCGTCAGACTAATTATGAAAGACGAGAGAGATTTCCTTATTCCTTCTGCCCTCCTACGAAGTTGCAATGCTGCGCGATTTCAAAAGCTTCCGCGACTAATCGAGTGCATAATGAGGTGCATCCATATGGATAATTATAGACTGTCTTATGAACGCCGACGTTTCGTGAACTCGAGCGGAGTTTGGTTGCGATGGAGCGCAATGGCATAGGACTGGAGGCGTGGGCGTCGCGATCCCACGCCAGGATGCCAGTGGTGGCATGCCCATGCTTCTGAATCGCGAAACTTCAAAATGTCCTTTCACGCAAAAAACGCGTTTGAAAGTGGGGCAGAACTTTCGAGGGCACCATGTGTGAATACGGACCGTAAGATTCACGGTGGCCACAGTCTAATGCTTTTTTTTTCTCTCTCCCTCGGTTGCAAATCTCGAATAAACTTTCAGTAATTATAATGGTGTTCGTATTTTCATTTTCACATAGACTTTTCGTGCAAGGATGAGGGGACCTTCACGTCAAGCGGGTCCGGCCTGCGGCTTTGCAATTCCCTCCTACCAATCGCGGAAGGCTTCACCAATCCAAGATGGTGGCCGTCTGTGGTGGCGGCTGTTCAAATTTTGAGTGGCGGACAGAGTCTCATTTAGGCTTAGTTTCACAATGTTTCTTATAAGCGTATGTTGCACGAGCTCACTTAAAGTTTTGCCAAAGGGTAAACCCTTTTTTTTCCATTGCAGGAAAGCAATACAAGGAACTAACATTCTGGCATTTTCTTTAAAATGTCCTGGTTGTTCTTTAAAAAAAAAAAACCAGTCACGCTAATCTTGATGTAAGACATTCCTTTGGCTTGCTTAGACTTACCTGAATGCATTGCTATTAGTAAGTTGGTTCTTGAGTTAAAACTTGTTTATTGGAAGAGTTACAGTGAATTTGGATTTTTATGTATTATGTCTTGCTTTAATATGTATTTTTCAGGTTAAAACCTTTGTAATGTGACATTGATAGCTTTTCATATTGACTTATTGTGACTTTATATGTTCAGTCCCAATGCTTGTGTGGAGTGTCCATCAAAAAGAAAGGCAAGCTTAGAAATTGTATGCTCTTTTTTGCAATTTATTTTTTGCTATTCCTAGTCATGAGTTTATTTTGGTCATCAGAATCATTTGTGAAAATCTCAACCACTGGGCTCGATACATATTTATATGTTTCATAGGTGTGTTAGCATTGGTATGGATTTCACTAGTTTGGAATGCCAAAAGACTTTTTCTCAAAAGTCAAATTTGAGGAGGCATGCAAAGGAAATGCATGTCACCATTGACATTCCCAGTGAGAGATGAGGCCCTATGTAGCTCTTGTTTATGTGTATTCCTAATTAGCTTTGCCAAAGGATAGTGCCAATTTGGCCAGAATGTAATGGTAGGAGCACTAGTGGGAGCTGAGAGGGTGTAGGCTCAGATCCCTGGAGTATCTGGCAGATAGAGTGTCCAAGTTACTCGGCCTGGGGTTCGTATGGAACCCTTCACTAAAGGATCATAGGCCCTTTATACACAGTTCAAATAAATAGAGATAAAAATGCCCATAAATAACTCTAAATTTACTCTCTTTTAAGATGTATAAAAATTAGACTCTTTCAGAATATATTAAAATTACTTTCTATAAAAAAGGCTATAAAAGTTTGAGATCACAAGATAAAAGAGAATCACAAGGGCATATCCCCTAACTTGACAGCATTAGGGGGAGAGTCCGGCCGATAAGGCAAAAGAATATATTAAAATTACTTTCTATAAAAAAGGCTATAAAAGTTTGAGATCACAAGATAAAAAAGAATCACAAGGGCATAGCCCCTAACTTGACAGCATTAGGGGGAGAGTCCGGCCGATAAGGCAACTGGGCTCTTTACCCCGGGAGGGTATGGCGAGAAGGGAAAGACATAAAATATAGGGAGGTGTTGGGCCGCAGAGAAGATAGGCCGGTCCTAGGCACTTCGAGGTATGGTAAAAAAGGGGTCTCTGTTGGGGCAGCTGACCGAAGAGATGTAGTTGTAGTCTAGCTGGGAGAACGAAGAGTTGAGTTCACACCTCACGGCAGACGAGCCCCAAGCCACTTGCCTCCACGCTGGTCCAAAACACACTCCCGGAAAACCTTCCTCCCCGCTTCCTCGATTCTTCTCCCTGGTTGCCCGATCCTTGTCACACCATTTTAACTTTCCAATCTTTCACGATTTCATAACATACGTTTAAAGGTTTCATTAAAGTTACACAGAGTGTGTTGCAATATTAAACACCATTCACTAGAAACTTAACAAATGAACTATTTCAAAACCAAACAATTCTGGTTATAAACATGGCGACGTCCACAGTCTTGCAGACTGGGACCGCGGGTCCGGGAAAAAAAATGACAAGATTTACACTAGCCTTCTCCCAAACAGTTGAAGGAATAAATAAAATTTGGTAGCCAATGGATTTTGTGAGAGAGCCCTATGGCTTTCTTTTGTTTATTTTGATCATGGGATCAAGTCTCCTGAAGCTTGATTGGTATTGATTCGGGCATTCAGACCTAGGATATTAATTTATATTGAGAAATATACAGGGTGTTCATATTTTAACGCAACATGGGAGATTTTTTGCCGCCTGTTGGTGGAGTTCGAGGCATGCCTTATAGCTCACTGAGATGTATATCTGGAAGGATGAAATCTGTCCCTGGTGTGTTTCCTTCCAGATATGCAACCTGGTGAGCTATAGGGCACACGTTGAACTCCACAAACAGGCGGCAAAAATGTCCCTATGTTGTGTTTAAATACAAATACCCTGTATGTTGAAATTAGTTCAGAGTAACTCTGGAGTCTTTCCATTCAGAGTCTTCCAGAATTACAGGGGATCACTTGTTAAATGGCAAGATGACTTGCAAAAACTTCTGCCTGCTACATGTTACGGAATGCCAGACCATGTCACTTTCTCTCCTGTGCGACTTTCTGTTGAACTCTTTCATTCATACTGGCCCCAATTGAACCCTTTTTACTATACAATAATTGCAAGTTTATAAACTTGGGATGACACACCCATTATTGTATAGGATGTTCTCATTGGATAAATCTTGTACAGAACATGAATTTTAACCAGTCAGAATAAACATAGTAAGCTAAGACAAAATCCTCCTGATCAGTCAAGGTGGATTCAAATAGAACACACCAGACCCAGTTGTACAACATTGCACTATGGCACTGCAACCAAATAATGAAAAAAAAAACACACACACACACTACACATTACTTGTAACTCCTGCTCTAACAAAATTCACTATTATCTGTGGAAGCAAGAACATAAAGGTTAAGCAAACTCAAATGCATGAAACTTAACCATTCCCACCATTCTTCAGAGCTGCAGCCTTGCTGAGAAGGCAACTTTGGTAGAAATAGGTACTTGGCTTCCTCATACTGGTTAGCATTTAAATGCAGCATGATCTGCTTGATGTGGCGATGCTCACAACTAAGTTGATTGTCACATAGAGAATTATTATATACTGAATGGGATCTAATTGAGACCAGTAGAAGTGAAAGGATAAATGCAATTACTGTCATCGCCATTTTAATTTTATATCATTTAGAGATGATTTTGAAAGATGCTCAGCATTCAGAGTGTGTTTTAACCCATCAAGTGTGTACTTTTCTGAGCAAGGTAGAATCCACAATGTGTAAATATTAACAAACTGCAACAATAGTTGCGGAACTATTGTGTTATGTAAAAATAAACTGAACATAAACTCCTTTATTTTATCTTAATATGTAAATACATAGTGCTGAACAAGGTACATTGTAATTTAAAAAAAAAAAAAAAACAAAAAAAAACACACGATGTATCAGGGACATTAGTGATGACAGATATATCCATCATACCTGCTTGAGATTTGCATTTCCTCTTAAATTGCATAGGAAATAAACTGTCGAGATATACATTTTGCTTGTGCGTATCTCATGACGGGTGCATTCAAAATATTATGCAGGCAATCATAAAATGTGAAACACGTTAGCTTCGTAAGTGGTGAAACACTTGGGTTAATGTGCTTAGATTGCTAAATGTCATCATGTCATATTTAGCTAACAAACTCCATCGGGTCATTATGCGACTAATTTAATACTAAGTTTTAAAGTACAGTGGAACCTCGCTTAACGAGCATAATTTGTTCCCGAATCTTACTCGTAATGCGAAACACTCGTTAAGCGAATCACTCTGTTTGACTGTATATTCATATACAGTCAAACCTCGCTTAACGAGCA